TGATGATGATGATGATGATGATGATGATGATGATGATGATGATGATTCGGAGGTGGGGGGGGTGAGATCGCAACGGAACGGTTTCGGTTTCGGTTTCGTGTTTGTGTCGTGGGTGCGGGCGAGGCGAAGCTGCGTGGGCTCGCCAGAGGACCGACCCCGCCGTCGCTAGGGCGATCCGGATGCAGTAGACCGCCTCTCCGCCCTCGGTATGCGCGCGGTGGCCCGGGGTGTCCCTCCGTCGTGTCCCGTGGTGTCCCGCTTGTGTGTATTGACAGTGAAGACGACGGTGAGATCGCTAATGTGATCGCTGCTCCAGATTTCGTAATAAAGGGATGGGGGGTCTCATTTCGGGGGGGGGTCTCTTCCAGGCTATCTTGGAGGGCCTGGGGGGTCTGGGGACGATGTTTTGGAGGGTTCTCCCACGGGGGAGGTCTGAAATGGCCTGTCTTGGAGTGTCCAGACCCCCTCCCTTTTATTACGAAATCTGGAGTAGACTGGGACGGATCGTGAGATAAGAAGTGATATCGCCAGTGAGGTTGATTGTGACATTGGTTGTGAGATCGGTCGTGTGATCGATAGTGAGGTCGACAGAGGAATCGACAGTGGTATCAATAGTGGGATCGGTCGCGGAAGCGATAGTGGGATCGATCGAGTGAGATCGAAAGCGGGGGCGATAGTGACATTACATTGCAGCGCAACGTAGCCATCACGCGTCGTCGCTAACTCGAGGGCGCGTCGCCATCATCGTCATCATCATATTCATCGCGTTCGCCAGCTGTTGGTTCTTTCCCCCCACCCGCAAACCTCCTCATCAACCGAAGGGTGGTCGTATAGGTATGATGATGATGCTGCTGCTGATGATGACGGTGGTGACCAGGTTCATATTGTGGATGGTGGTGATGCTGAGGAGGAGCATGATGAGAATATTGACGATGAACGGATGTGATTATGATGACGTTGATGCGGTTGCTCATGCTGATCATGATGATGATGATGATGACGATGCTGGTGCTGATGCTGATGCTGATGCTGATGCTGATCATGACGATGACGATGATGACGATGATGATGCTGATGCTGCTGTTGATGCTGATGCTGATGTTGTTGTTGAAGATGATGCTGATGCTGATGCTGATGATGACGCTGATGATGCTGATGCTGCTGATGATGATGAGGATGCTGATGATGATTATGCTGATAGTGGTGATGATGATAGTGGTGGTGAGGTTGATGGTGATGACGATGACGATGACGATGACGTTGCTGCTGATGATGACGATGATGCTAATGCTGATGCTGATGCTGATGCTGTTGATTATGATGATGATGATGATGAGGGTGATGATGATGATGTCTATGCTGATGCTGATGTTGATGCTGCTCATGATGCTGATGAAACTGATGATGATAGTGATGATGATGCTGACTCTGATGATGATGATGATGAAGTTGATGATGAGGATGATGCTGCTGATGATGATGATGATGATGATGCTGAGGATGGTGATATGCTGCTGCTGATGATGATGATGCTGGCGATGTTGCTGATGATGCTGCTGCTGATGATAATGCTGATGAGGCTGTTGATGATGATGATGATGATGATGATGATGATGATGATGATGATGATGATGATGATGCTGATGCTGATAATGATGATGACGATGATGCTGATGATGACGAGGAGAAGGAGGAGGAGAAGGAGGAGGCGGAGGCGGAGGAGGTGTGGATGATGATGATGATGATGATGATGATGATGATGATGATGATGATGATGATGATGATGAGGAGGAGGAGGAGGAGGAGGAGGAGGAGGAGGAGGAGGGAGAACGAGGAGGATGAGGACGAATGAGAGGAGGAGCTGTAAGAGGGTGAGAAGGGAGGGAGGGAGGGTAAGAAGGAGCGGGAGAGGGGATATGCGTAAGGCGACAAAGATCAGGACGGTGAAAATGGTAATAATGTTGAGGATGAGGAATGGTGAGGTGAATGATTGCAGGAATAGGGGAGGGATGAGGGAACATGAGAGGGGGGGAGGAGGAGGAGGAGGGGGAGGAAGAGGAGGAGGAGGAGGGAGGAGGAGGAGGAGGAGGAGGAGGAGGAGGAGGGAGAAGGAAGGAGGAGGAGGAGAGGAGGAGGAGGAGGAGGAGGAGAGGAGGAGGAGGAGGACAAGGAGCAGCACACAGCCTCTCTTCAACTGTCTCCGCGCCTACTGCTTGCTGTTTTTCTTTACCAGCGCACAACTGCACACTTTTTTGCGTCGGCGGCTAGGCAGAGTGACTGCGCTGGCGGAAGAGCATTGGTAGAGCATGCGAATGCGAATTAAGCCGCAATGCACGGGGGAGAGAGGAGGAACGCCAGGCGGTGGCAGGAGGGAAACGGAAGCCGGCCCCGCTCAGAGCGGGGCCAGGCGGCGGCGGGGTGGTGCTGGGGGCGGGGGCCAGCAGCAGCGGGGCGGCGGCTGGAGGCGGGGAAGCCGGCATGGCAGGCTGCCAGGCAGCAGGCCATGCTGGGGGAAGCAGTGCCCAGGAAAGGCTGGCGTGAAGGTGTGCACGCAGCGCCCAGGGCCACATGGTGCCGAGGTGTCGCAAGCCACGAGGGTACCCAGGCCGGCGGCGACCAGTGCGGGACCGCCTCAGGGGAGGGGTCGGCTTGCGAACCAGGCAAAGCGAGGAGGCGCGCGGGACAGGGCGCGGGCGGCAGAACCAGCCCAGGCCCCAGGCGGGGGGGGGGGCGGGGGGGGGCGGACCTGCCTAGGGCGGAGGCCGCGGGGACGAGGCAGCCCGAGGCAGCAAAACTGTAGAAGAGCCAACGCACTGAGGGAGCCGAGGTCACCCGTGATGAACGTGGCGGTCGGTGGCGGCTGGGGCAGGCACCTCCGATCGGAGGGTGGCCCGGGCGGAGCGGGGCGGAGAGGCGCGGCGGCGGCCAACCGCGAAGGCCACGGCGCCCCCATGCGGGCCGAGGTGGCGACGGGCCACGGAGGCCGGCAGGCAGCAAGAGGGGGGCGGGGCACCGAACAGGTGACGCCAGGGCGAAGGACCAGAAGCGAGGTGGGGCTATGCGCACACACAGCGGCCCGCCTGCTGGAGAGGCTCGCAGAGGCGTCCCAGAAGGCGACGCCCTGTGACGCCGACCGGGGCGGAAGCGCGACAGCCAGTAGGGGGGCGGAGGGCGCCCCAGCCAGGCCAGAGGGGGGGGGGGGCCCGCGGCACCCAAGGAGGCTGGCGGCGGGGCAGGCAAGGAGGGCACCCCCAGAGAGGGTGGTGCGACTGGCAGCGCCCGTGGCGGAGGGGAGGCTGGGCAGGGCGGCAAGACCAGCCCGGTGCCCGGCCTAGGACGGCCGGCCAGCCAGCTGGCGAGCTGGCCGGGAGCATAATCGCAAGAACCCACCGTCGCGTCAGGACTCACGGGTGCCCGGCCTGCTAGGGCCGCGTCAGCGAGCCAGGCGTAGGCCGCGGTGGCAGCCGATCCCTAGGGGAAGGGCTGGGGGGGGGAGGCAGGTGGTCAGCCGTAGTCAAGGTCCAGGGCATTCAGTTTCACATTATATCTTGACCTACTACTGTGGGAGTCTTTAACCTGACATCTCCCTGTGTCTCCGTCCCAAAAGAGCCTGCGCCGATCATTATGCGGGCGAGCACTACTCCGCACAGCATCTTGCACGCGTAGTTCGATCCCTCGTAGTTGCTTCCTTCTTGTACGTTCAGAGGAGTTGTGATGAGAAGGAGGAGGACTCTACCTCTCCGCTTGTACTGCAGAGCGAGCGCATACTCTGTGCTCAATCCGGCCTTTCCTGGTCCCGCTGCGCTCGCACTGCCTAATTCGTTTCGCACTTAGCCTAAGGCGGCCTCACGGTTTTCTCCTGCCAGGACGCCAGTATCGTATTACTTGTCCGATCAACGCGAAGAAGGATGATGCTGCTGCTGCTGATGATGGTGATGGTGGTGGTGGTGGTGATGATGATGATGACGAGGAGGAGGAGGAGGAGGAGGAGGAGGAGGAGGAGGAGGGGGAGGAGGGGGGAGGAGAAGGAGGAGGAGGAGGAGAGGGAGGAGAGGGAGGTAAGGAAGAATGGGGAGGAGGAGGAGGAGGAGGAGGAGGAGAGGAGGAGGAGGAGGAGGAGGAGGAGGAGAGAGGAAAGGAGAGACGATGAGGAGGGATGAGGAGGGATGATGATGATGATGATGATGATGATGATGATGATGATGATGATGATGATGATGATGATGATGATGATGATGATGATGATGATGATGATGATGATGCTGATGATGCTGATGATGCTGATGATGATGATGATGATGATGATGAGGAGGAGGAGGAGGAGGAGGAGGAGGAGCAGGGGGAGGAGGAGGAGGAGGAGGAGGACTGGGATAAATGTAGGGATGATGAGGTGGAGGAGGAACAGCAGCAGGTAGAGAAGGAGGAGAAGGATGAGGCGTTGGGAGGGTTCGGCTGCTTTGTCTCCTCCTGTTTTCCTGTCAGCCACATCACCGAAGCATCCTGCCAAAGCCTGTGCCGCTGTGCGTGCTCCCATCGCTCATTCACGCCTTCACGCTCCACCGCCGTCGCCTCCTGTTTTGCCAATTCGGCCGCCGTCGTCGCTGTCGCCGTCGCTGACATGGCCGCTGTGCTTCCTCTTCCCTGGCGCGCTCTCGACCTCCCGTGGTGGCGCGGTCCTCGATCTCCTCGGTGGCCGACATCGTCGCGCTTTTCCCTTTTCCTCCTCTGGCCCAGCTTGCCCTGGTGCCCTCTTTTAGGGCATCCCTTCATATTTTTAGCAACCCATGCGATGATGTTCATCCCTGCGAACACCGAGCCAACCTTTGCTCACATGCTGGCATCAGATAGCATCCGATGGCGAGTGCCGACGGCCCTCCTCCGACACGGGAAAGACTTGGCCGGGCGGGAGTCGCCGGCCGAGCTCGGCCGGCCGAGACCAGCTGGCCGAACTCAGCCGGACCGAGCTGCTCCTGGCCGAGTCTTGTTGCTGCCCTCCTCCGCAGCAGGCCTGGCTCAGGCCACACATGGGCTCCGACTGCCGCCTCCAGGGCGTGCCCGGCGCCACCGGGTGGCCGCCCGCCGCCGGTTCCGCTCCGAGGGCCCCGCGCTGGCGATGGCGGGGCGCCTGCTGGGCCCGAGCCTGATGCAGGGCGACTTCGTGGACGGCGTCGTGCGCTCCGCGGTGTCGGGCCTGATCGGCCAGCTGAAGCGCGAGTATCAGAAGGACAGAGCTCGTCCTCGTCCTTGCCGTCGTCGTCGTCGTCGTCGTCGTCGTCGTCAACCTCCTCCTCCTCCTCCTCCTCCTCCTCCTCCTCCTCCTCCTCCTCCTCCCAAAGTCGGCACAAGCGAAAGGGGTATGGAAAGAACGGGTACGAAGACCGTCAGCATCTCCTGTTCGCTGTGAACAGGACTCGCTGTCGGCGTCGCCGGGAGCGTTGTCCATTTGAGACAGATGGTCGCCTGCCTAACACTCGTAGCTGTCGGTTTTGGACAGCATTTGGTATTAGGCATCGTGTTCATTTGCCGTCTTAAGGCCCGTTCGCGGAAGCACTCCGAAGTGCTCCTAGCCAAGCGCTGTCCTGGTCATTGCAAGCATTTTTCAAATCTCGTCGCAGATTCTAGAAAGGCCGAAATTTGCTGTACTATGGGCGCTTAGACCAGCCTACCAGCTTCCTGATTTACCATGAGTGCAGTTCTTTCGCAGACTCTGGTAGCAGAGGTCTAGCCAGTTACTGCAAGCGTCACCTCTTCCACGATTGCGCCGCTACCCAGTCAGCCCGGGCGCAGGAAGGTCCACTTCTCGAAGGCAACAAAAGCTCCCCAATCGTGCTCCAGGTGCCAGCCATTTCCCTAGCCCAGCTCGTGCGAGAAGCGCACGCCCAGGCAAGAGTGGAGAGTGAGGCATACAGCCCTCCCACTGCCGCGGTGTGGCCGCGCTGGATCATCGATTCTCTTTGAGGCGCTGTCTAATCGTACTCTACCATATCTTATCTTACCATGTAGCATTTGTTCTTTCATTAACTGCCATATCTTACGTTATAACACATTGTATGATAATTATGTCATATCTGTCCGTAGACTATAGGTTACTGTACTACATTATCATACCTTATGTTATAGTATAGTACAATGTCTGATCTTATCTCATATCACCTTATTTTGTCACACAATATCTTCTATTATCTTATCTCACATGATACTACATCATCTTATCCCATCCTATCTCCTACCGTATGGTATTAGCTTTTTATTATTCTACATTCACACACATCATCGATCACATAACGTGTTACCTTGCATTATCTTATCGCCCAGTATATCATCGCATATACCCTTCACATATCTATCACAATGTTAACACATCTTATATTACATGACCTTGTCATACAAGGGAACGCTTCATGCCATTCCATCCTGTCTTATCTGGTCGTATCATATGTTTCCTGGCATCATCGTTTAATATCGTATCGGATATGATCGTATATGATGCTATCATGTCGTATCTTATTCTTTTTTAGCAGAAATACTGTGATGCCAACATCGAGTCTCTTATGGTGCAGTATTATCCAAATAGGTTTGCCCTACAGGAGTCCTAACTCAAACCCTACTAATTGGTCCGTTGCCTCCCCCCCAATTCCTATGCCCCCCCCTTATTCCTATGGCTATGTCTATGCCTATGCCTCGCCCCCCCCTTCTCCAATGGCACACCCCCTTATGTATGCTTGCTTGCTTGCTTGCGCGCTTGCCTGCACGCTTGCTTGCGCGCTCGCTTGCTTGCTTGCTTGCGCGCTTGCTTGCACGCTTGATTGCTTGCTGAGTTGCGGATTCCCAGCACGCTCGATTCCTCTGATTCCTTGATTTGAGTCGTCTAATCTATTTGGAGTCAACGCTGGCTGATATATCATATCATCACATCTTGTCTTATATCCTTCGTATCTTATTTCGTATTACCATATCCCGTCTTATCTAATGGTCTTCGGCTTATCCTGTTTTTGGGTGTCTCTTCGGATCGCTCTCGGGGGCCAGTTCGGGAAACAGTTATCGGGCTTGGGAGCCTCTTCGAGCCCTCTTAGGGCTCTTGGGGCCTCCTGGGGGCGACTTGGGGCCGAAAGCTCGACATGTCCGTTCGGGTTCTCCCCGTGGGCTTCCTCTTGGGGCCGTCCTGGGGCCGTCTTGGGGGCTTCTTGGTCCGTCTTGGGGGCCTTTTGGGCTGTCTTGGGGCGATCTTGGGTGCCTCTGGGGCCATCTTGGACGTTGTGAAAACCCAAGAGGCCAAGATTCTAAAAGTATACGTTTCCCCAAAAAGGAATGGGACGATTTTTGAGTATTGGGGCCCTTTTGGGGGCCTATTGGAGCGTCTTGGAGGCCTCTTGGGCCGTCCAAAGGCGCTCCTTGACCGTCTTGAGCGCTTCGTGGGGGCTTCCGCGAAGTTCTCCGGGTCATTTGGGGTGTTGCAACCGTTCCGGAGGCCCATGCGGCACACCCCAGGAGCGCCCAAGAGCGCCCCGAAGCGCCTGGGAAATTGGTGGTCCTGGCCTTTGAGAAACTGCAATTCTGGCTGCAGCAGCAGCAGCAGCAGCACAGATGTGAGCCTCGGGGAACTCCACTTCGTGCCAAAGGCACTGTGGCTGGTCTTATATGATCTTAGCATGGTTTGTGGTATCTTGTATTACTTGATATGACCTTACATTGTCTTGTCTTACCGTACAGTGTAACATTCCAGGTATGCACTTACCGTTTCATAGTCTATATTGTCTTATCTTAGCTTACCATATATTATCTTATCATATCCCATCTTTTCTCATATAATCATATCATATATGCTATGATCTTTTATTGTCCTGCAGTATATTATATTCAGCCTCTGCTTGTCTCACACTATGTTGTATTATCTTTGCTTATCTCCTTGTATCTCATTGTATAATATTATATCTTATATTACCTTAACTTACCTTCACTTCTCATGTCTGATCTCATTTCGCATTCTATCATGTTATCAGTTTCGCTATAGTATATGGCACATTGCCTTGAGGTTTATCCCACCATCGTATCTTACCCTATCGTATATCAAACTACCTCATCATACCATATCTCATCTCACCATATATATTCTGATCCTGATTTATCATATCTTATATTTTTTGTAATATTTTTGTGACCTCATCTTATCTTCTAAAATTGCACTATATCCTGTATTCGATCATCATATATCACCTTTTCTTATATGGTGCCGTCTGGTCTTTTGATATATGTAATCGCTTCGCTCATTCCGCCGGCCCATAATGTCGCACCGTGGTCGCCTGTCCGAGTGGTCGTTTGCAGTGTGGAGCTGCGGCGTCGGGAGCTGTGTAGTTGTCGATAAATTTGTTGTTGTTTTTTCATGGGGTTCTAGGTGTTTGCAGTTTTTTGGCGGCTTTGGTGCCATCGTGGGGGCGTGTTACCCGTGGTATCCCGCTGTGGGGCCGTTCGAGCCGGGGGAAGAGACATCTCATGCGATAAGGGAACCCTCGTGTCGGAGGGTGGCGGGCTTTGAATGCTAACATTGGCTCTGTTATCGTCCTGATGTCCTCTGGCGTTGCGGACACGGGCGTGAAGGAACACTTTCTTGTGGCGTTTCTCTTACCATCTCTTTTCTAATTGGACCCTCCTCCCTACTTTTTCTTTCTTCCCTTGGTGAGCTAGAGAGAAGGGGGCCGGTAGCAGCGGAGGGAGGCGGCAGTGCAGAGGCGGGAAAAGGACGACGAGGAAGGGGAGCAGGAGGAGCAGGAGGAGGAGGAGGAGGAGAAAAATCAGGAGGCGCAAGAAGGGATTGTATGGTTGCAGTGAGGGAAGGAGGATGATGTAAAGTGACCCGGGTTGTGAGCGGAAAGGAGAGCCGGAGGGGAACCGAAAAGGTTGAGACGCCCAAATCTGTCCAAAACCTATGGGAAAGCATTGTTTGTTTGCCTCTTGGGGCCCTCTTGGGAATGCACTTGGAGACCTCCTGGGGATCTTGAGGCTTCTTGGGTCATCTTGGAGACGTCTTGGGCCGTCTGGATGCCATCTTGGGCGTCGTGGAGCGATATTCGGGCGTCTCGGACCTTTCTCGGACCGTGTTGGGGGCGTTCTTGGGGTCCTCTTGGGCCGTCCTGGAGGCCTCTGGGGCCGTCTTGGAGCCGCCTTGGGCCGTCTTGGGGCCCTCTTGGGGGCCTCTTGGGCCCTCTTGGGGCGATCTTGGAGGCCTCTTGAGCCGTTTAGGGGCGTCGGGGAACCGAAAAGGTTAAAACGCCCAAATCTGTCCCAAACCAAAGGAAAACACATATTTTTCCCTCTTGGGGCCCTCTTGGGAATGCACTTGGAGGCCTCTTGGGGCATCTTGGAGGCTTCTTGGGCCATCTTGGAGACGTCTTGGGCCGTCTGGAGGCCATCTTGGGCGTCGTGGAGCGATCTTCGGGCGTCTCGGACCTCTCTTGGACCGTGTTGGGGGCGTTCTTGGGGCCCTCTTGGGCCGTCTTGGAGGCCTCTGGGGCCGTCTTGGAGCCGTCTTGGGCCGTCTTGGGGCCCTTTTGAGGGCCTCTTGGGCCCTCTTGGGGCGATCTTGGAGGCCTCTTGAGCCGTTTAGGGGCGTCGGGGAACCGAAAAGGTTTAAACGCCCAAATCTGTCCAAAACCTACGAAAAAAACATAGATTTTTGCCTCTTTGGGGCCCTCTTGGGAGTGCTCCTGGAGGCCTCTCGGGGCATCTTGGAGGCTTGTTGGGTCATCTTGGAGACCTCTTGGGCCGTCTGGAGGCCATCTTGGGCGCCGTGGAGCGATCTTCGGGCGTCTCTGACCTCTCTTGGATTGTGTTGGGGGCCTCTTGGGGCCCTCTTGGGGTGATCCTGGAGGATCTGGGGGAGTGTTCCGGGCGTGTCCCGGGCGTGTCCCGGGCTCCTCTCGGGGTACTTTTGATCCAGGGACCCCCAGGGGCCGCCCCGCGCGCGCGAACCTGAAATACTGTTTACCAGTTAGTGGAGATCTAGCACGCCTCTGGCCCGTTGGGCCAGCGAATTTGCATATGTGGTTCTTATTATATATGATCTAACATTCTCTTAGCTGAGCTAATCTTAAACTATTCTGCCTTACCGCAGCTGGTCGTTCATGTTTAATAGTTTCGCATCTCGTCGATCATATCTTATCGTATTTCACCTTGTCATGTACCAACTGGCAGTATTTGGCCTCATAGTGTAAGTTTGTATCCGGTATCATCCATCGTATTTGGTACCGTATAGCATCATGCCTGACCGTACATTATATCATTTCAGCTCATGGATCTGACATTCCAATGAAATCTTGCATTGGGCTCTCATCTGCTATCATAACATATGTTAGAACATGTTTCCCATCTGGTAGTCAATCATGCCATAATGTCCTAATTCATATGGTGTCATATCATGATCATGCATTTCCTCATCTTACCTCCTCCTCCTCCTCCTCCATCCCCCCAGCCTCCTCCCTCGATCTGCAGGTAGACACGCTAACAACCCCCAGTCCCCGAGCATCAGCATTCTCCGAGCTTTGCCGAGCCTCCCGACCCGCAGAGCGGAGCGGCACGCCGTCCGCATGCAGGGCACAGCATGTCGTAGGGGCCACCGCCGCGACACGCTGAGCAAAGAATACGGGCCGTGGGCGCAAGCTTTCGGAGGTCCGCGCGGATCTCTTGGGCTGGCGCTGGACCCTCCTTACCCCTCCCCTTAGCGCGCGGAGCGTGCCAGGGGGAGCCTGTGCCGGAGGCGCTGCCAGGGGTGCGAGGAGGGGGCCAGCGCCGACCGAAGACCCGCGCGGGCCTCCTGGAATCAACGCTTTCGGAGTTGTTGCTCGGGCGTCTTCCGGAGTCGGCGAAGCGCCGAGGGGGGAAGCGAGAGGGGGCAGGCCTCCTCAGGGCTCCGAGATCTTCTCCGAAGGCTGCAGGCCTGCTGAGCCTCCCGAGAAGGCCCGTGCCGTCGGCCTTCTTCCCTGGGCGCGCCGCCAAGTTTGGTTTTCCGCATGCCGGCCGTTCGGGACGATCCGGGCACCCCCAGAACGCCCTCGGCGAGGCGCGGCGGCTGGAAAGCACCCGGAGGCTGGAGAAACCTCGAGGAACCGACGGAAACATCAAAAAGCGTCGAACTTCCCTCTTGGGCGCGCCGCCTATCCAGAGGAGATCCAGAGGGAGCTGCAGGCAGCCCACGAGGGCGCCCCCGCCCAGCGCCATCCGCCCTTGGCGGAGCCTGCGGAGCGCGCCAGCGATGCGCGCGGGGCCGCCGCGAGGCCGCCCGCGCCCGCGCTGCGGGCCGCTGCGGCGCCGGGCGGGGCGGAGATGCACGGGAGGGCGCTGGTGATCCCGGAGCCGCCGCCGTCGGCGCCGCCCGCCATCGTGGAGCACGCGTGGTCTCTGGAGCCGCCCGGGCCCGAGGGGCTGGAGCCGCTGTCGCTGCTGCCGCCCGCCAGCCAGGGCCACAGCGGGCGCCGAGAGGGCTCCGACGGAGTGGTGCGGATGCCCTCGGGCCCGGCCATGCCTGGCGTGCCCGAGGAGGCGGCGAGCGACGAGGACCGAAGGATGAGAGGGAGGATGATGATGAGCAGGAGGAGGACGATGATGATGATGATGATGATGATGATGATGATGATGATGGTGATGGTGATGGTGATGACGATGACGATGACGATGATGATGATGATGGTGATGATGATGATGATGGTGATGGTGATGGTGATGGTGATGATGATGATGATGATGCTGCTGATGATGATGATGATGATGCTGATGATGATGATGATGATGACGACGATGACGATGACGATGATGATGATGATGATGATGGTGATGGTGATGGTGATGGTGATGCTGATGATGATGAGGAGGAGGAGGACGATTATGATGATGGTGATGATGATGATGATGATGATGATGATGCTGCTGATGATGATGATGCTGATGATGATGATGACGACGATGACGATGACGATGATGATGATGATGATGATGATGGTGATGATGATGATGATGGTGATGGTGATGGTGATGGTGATGATGATGATGATGATGACGATGATGATGATGATGCTGATGATGATGATGA